CTGCTTCTCTGGTTTTCTGCAGCATTTACAGCTTGTTTCCATGTGCAGGCTCCTCATCTAGACTCTCCAGCACAATTCTCCAGTTATTTCATGTCGTAATCGCCTGAAGAACTTCAAGAGCTTTGCTTTTCCTGTGGCTTCTTAGCATGGTGTTGTTTGAGTGTCTAGTCAGTGTTGAGAAAAATGAGGGATGATCCACGTACTGAGGCAGAAGATTGGACAAAGCCCCTTCCAGGGACTGCACTTTTTGTGCTTCCCTCTTATGCTTAGCTATTCAGACCAAATTTAGGTGAGTCATGAAAATGACAATCTGCCTGGGATCCAGAATGGGGTACAGAGGAGCAAACGTCCCCCTTTCTCATGGCACTGTCAAATCTGCTGGCACACAAGGTGTCAGTAACTGAAAGCGACTTGTCGCAGCTTCTCCAGAAGCATCGATGGGATTCCAGAGATCTCATGCCAGCAGGAAGGCGCTGGGCTCTTCCTGCCACCCCTGAAGCCTCCTAGGCAGTCATATCCCACAAGATGGTCCTGGTACTAGTTCTGTACTTTCTGAATGCACAAGAGGACTGATGGGGAGCATTCAGTCTTCTCCTTCAGCTTTTAATTCCCAAGTGTCACCTACTGTTTAGAACTGGCCCTTGCCCAGCCCACGTCTGCTCAGTCCTGAGACCCCAGCACTTCTCAGTGGGTCTAGCCAACCCTTTAAATGCACCCACACACCTGCCAGCATCCCCAGAATTTGTCTCAGCCTCTTTACTCTCCAGAACACCCTAATCTGTTGATGTGGGGCCTCTAACAATGGCCAGGGATTTCTTCTGCTTCAAGGAAGCTCTGGGTAATGGCTAAGCCATTCTCCCCAAACTTAACATACTTAAAGCCTTGGCTCGTGTTTGAGATTTGGCAGATCTCCCGGGATTGTGGTCCTGTAGGGAGTCCAGGTTGCGACTCCAGCCATAGCATAAACGGATTTTGAAGTCGAAGAACAAATACCTCTGCAAATCAGATCTTTAATAGAAATTAGCAAACTAGAAGGTAATAAAATTGAAAATATTTTTCCTCTCTCAAGGAACTAACAATCAGAAGTTTAGATCCATGCATACCACTTTTGTGCCAAAGGTATATATCCTATGTTAAAAATAATAAAAATAATCAGAAAGTATATAATCTGTAATCAGAAAGTAAAATAATCAGAAAATATATAATACTTACAGCAATAATACTGTGAAGCACTGTACAGAGCATTATAAAATGTCTTACATTATAGAGCTATATTACATCTGATATTATTATTACTGCCACTAATAATATTTCCCCAACACTCACAATCTGAGAACATTTCCTGAGCCCTGTCTCCAAATGTTTGTCTATGCCTGACTCTGCAGCTGACTTGAATTCCTTGTTCACTGTCTGGTGATTCATTGCACTAAATACCATTTTCCTGATAATTAAAAACTGCTCACTGGCAAGTGGGAGCCGGAACAGGCTGATGCAGGATTTATGCAGAAACACAAAATGAACCAAAAGACAAATGACCTGTTCTGCCTAGCTAAAGGCATTTTTTTCCTCATCATCTTCTGGGACTTGAGAAAAGCTAGCAGTAATGCGGGAGAGAGGTCTGGAGAAATGTGTTCCTCTGAGACAAGGTAGATGCAGGGGGAGCCATTACGTGCACCTGCTCAGCCAAATCACTCTGTGGTTTAGGACCCAAGGATCCCGCCCCCAGCCTCAGGACTTAGGCAGGACCGTTTCCTAGGTCAGCCCTAACAGACCTAGTTAGAGGAAAAGCACCGAGTTGGGGTTCAAACTTTTGTTACACTTTTGATTCCAGTTTCCCTTCCTCAGTTAAACAGTGGCATCCTCAATTTCAGGGAAAACAAGAACTGACCCTACTGTTGCATAGAGGGGTAGAGGCAGGACTTTCTAAACTGACTTCATCACCACCCTGAGGCTTCTGCAGCCTCGTTAGCTTCTTTGGAAAGGCTTCAGTGCTGATCAAAACCCTTCCCCAGAGGAGCGGCGGGGACATCGTGTGCATGCACACAGACACACACACACGCACACACTCCTTAATTCCATAAGCTAGGGAGGTAGCAAACCTCTCTTTTTGAATAGACTATTCCCATCATGAACGCATCAACTTTTTCCCATTCAGGTGCACTTAGTTGCCCATTTCTGGCCTGAAAGGATTCTGACACTATCAAGATATGAGCCATTCCCTTCTGGGAATAGCTCCTTCCCCGAACTGATTGGGGCCAATATCTGTAAAGCTCATTAACTCAGAATCCTTTCTCGTTCATCCTTATATATGTCTTTACATGCAAGTCATTCATTATGGCACATTCTAGATTGTTTAATTAGTTTCCCTGGAAGGGTTCCTGTAGGACAGCTTAGCATACATTGTTCAAAAGCCCTTGATCTCAAATAACAAGGTAGTTATACTTAAAGTAACTAATGTAACCCTAAGTGGCTGACATGCCCCAATGCCCACCCCACCCCATTTCTTCTTCCTGCCTTCCCAAACACTTCCTAGAACAATTTCTTGATAATCATCGTGAGTGTATCAATTCATGAGCTCCCCATACATCCTGCACTGTGCTAGGTAAGTCACTTGCAATAAATATCACACCCCCACCCCGGGAGGGAGGTATTATCTCCTCCACTGGCAGAGGAGAAAATAATGATAAGAGATGTATGAGGGCTCACTGCAGTATGCCGGGCCAGTAAGAGGCTTTGGGGTTCTGACCTCCCCTACGGGCCCCAGCTGAGCTTTCAACCCCTCCCTTCCCCTCACAGAGCACATTGATGATGCCCTCCTACTGTTGTTTGCCTTCCACTGGCCTCCTGGACTGACCTCACCCCTCCAGTACCCAGGGCCACCTGCCTCTGGCAGCGTCTGCCCTTCTCCCCTAAGCACTGCTCTGGCTCTGGAGCCTCGCCGCCCACCTGCACAGCGGGTCAAGCAGCCCCCAGCCCGTGCCTGATGCAAGGGGGGGAGGGGGGAGTGTCACAGCTCCCTCCACCCTGGGGCAGCCTGCTCTGAAGCATGTGGTTACCTACTCGGCTCCGGGAGCTTCGCTGGGGGCACATACCTCCTCTAATTACCCCCAGGGCTAAGTAGTGGAGAGCACACCTTAGGTAGGCTGCCTTCCTTTCCCTATCTTCCTTCCTCACTCACCTTCAGGGACTTCTTGGGATCACTTCCCAGATGAGCCACTTGCTTTTGAAACCTCACCCCAGGGCTGCTTCTTGGCGAGCCCCAACTATGACTGCCTGGAGAGGCGGACCTGGCGTCATCAGACACTTTCAGTCTGGCTGCAGTCCTTTTTTCTCCTCCCTTGTTCTCCACACCGGATGAGAAAAAGATGGACCCCATCTCTATTTTCTCCTTAGTTCACTGTTAGTAAAGTAGAGCACCCCCCTTGCTCTCTCTCTACATTCCCCAGGGACTAGAACATTCTATATAAAGGATTTCTCTATTTGCTTTGTCCCAGTTTCAGTCAGGAGATTCGAAAGTCACCATCATCATCCCCAAGTTCCCTGGAACATTCTAGGATAGTATTGACCATCCTAAAGCGAAACATCTAACATGATGGAGAGATCTCACTTAATGACTGGGAATAACCTGTCTTTTCAGGGGAAAAAGAAATGCTGGGCATGGCACCTGGCTCTTTAGCTTTTAAAATTAGCCTCCTTCAATTCTTTGCTGTGTTGTCCTTCCCTTCGGATTGTACTCTAGCCCTTCCAATCCTTGCCTGAATTAGTGACCAGTTTGGGGAAGCTATAGAGCCACCATTTAGAAGAAGAAAAATGTTAAAAAACCAGATCATGCATGAAGGTCAGGGGGGTCCCTAGACAAGAAGCTGCAGTTGGGGGGTGCAGCCCTGAGAGGTGGAACTCAGGGCACCTGGGTCCAGCTTCAGCTTTGGGCCCCAACCCTTGGGCTTTCCTAGAGCCTTCTGCCCTACTGACCTCACTCTTCCATGAACCAGACAGAAGCAGCCGGCAGGAAAGGCTTCTTTTCACAAGGATGCCACGTGAGACCATGTTGTTTAGCTTTGGAAGCCCTCCCTGGCCTACCGCACCACCACCATGAAAACAACTAATATACTTTGCCTAATGACACATCAAACATGTTGAAAAATTACACTGGGAATGAATCCATTTGTTTCTTGGGTTCCATTTCCTTTCTTGTCCCCTCTCCTCCACTTCCTGATGTACTTTTTCTGCAATGACAATTCTGTATTTTGTCCCCATGCACACCTATTTATCTTGGCACTGTAAACATCAGTGACAGAGTCTATATTCCTTATGTATTCCTTATTCACCATTTTATTCGTTCTTCATACTTCAGTGTGTCTGAAGGCATGGGGGTTCAATTGTCATTTTTCTTTCATTCTACCTCATTTTTTTCTATGTAGACTTTGCTCTTTTCTCTATCAGTATTTTTTAAGCTTTTCTCTTCACATTTTCTCTTCTAGTATTCTGTCTCGGCACTTACATCTTGAGGTTTTTTTAATAGCAATTTCTTTTTTTTAATCTACCCCCATCCCTCTTCCAGCCTTGGACACAGCCGTCTGTTATAACCTTAAATGTGGCCTCTACTCAGGGAAGTTGTCAAGTTGATAAATATTGATATCTACCCTACCATTTTACCACCACTTTTCTGCTAATGCATTTGGTTGGCATCAATCAGCTTCTTTGCCTTCTGTGAGCGTCTGGTGTGGGAACTGGTCCCGATCTGTCACTTATAAGTAATCTGCTCCACATTTCATCAAGAGCTCAAAAAGAGAAGAAAATATGGAGGAGAAGTAGAGGACAGAGAACCAGGCTAGTGTGGCCCAGAGGGAAGGGACACGGGAAGCCTGGCAAGACCGAGACACGCCCTCGCATCCCCCCACCCTGCCCCAGCCGCGCCCCTACTGCTGGGGAGAGCAGCCGGCACGTAGTGACCACGTGCCCTCTTCGGGATGTTAACCCTGCTTATCTCCTCCAATAAGGCTCCCCAGGGATGAAGATCTACATCGATCCCTTCACTTACGAGGACCCCAACGAAGCTGTCCGCGAGTTTGCCAAGGAGATTGATGTATCTTTTGTGAAAATTGAAGAGGTCATCGGAGCAGGTATGGCTCTCCCTTCCCCTGATTTCTGTTCTCTTGGTGTCCAAACGTCTTCTTCCCACCGCTCCAGGTGTCCTCTTTCAGCACAAAAAGGCATCCCATGGGGAGAAGGGAGCTCCTAACACCTTGCCCCCCAAAAGATGAATCCGAACCATCTATAATATGTGTCTAGGGATCTTTGAGGGGCTTTGATTATGGCAGCCAGGCCTGTTTGGTGTCACACAGAAGTCAGCTGTAGTTTTGAAAGATTCAGAAATAGCTTTGGAAATGGACCACAAAACGCAGATAAGGAGATAGATGTAGCGTACTCAACTGAGAAGACTTTGAAAGAAATATAAATTTTTAGAAGCTGGACCTACCTTCCCACTCACAATAATGTTATCTCCATGTCTTTGGGCCAAGATTTCTTCCCATACTTTTGGTTGCCCTTTTCCTGTATACATACATTTGGAGACAAAGAAAATGAATTGAACAGAGACCACTCTTTCCAGAAGAAATCCCACTCATGACAGTATATCTTACAAAAGTTTTATGATATGGATGGTAACACAAGGCAAATTTCACAACCAAGAAACAGGTGCTCTTGTCCATCTTACTTCACTGGCATAGAGACCCAGCCCAGCAGATCACTAACTGCCCGAGGGGCTCTCAGGACATTCTACTTAAAGACTGACCAAGAATTTTCATCATTCTCCGTGGATCAGTAGTTGAGTCAGTTTGCCAATAGACCCAGCCCTACTCATGTAATTGTGTAAAATATCCCCAAATATCATCACCTTATAAATAATCTTTGCTGTCTCATCTGCTGCTTTTTGAATCTTCTTAGAATATGCATTTGTTTTGTGTTCTCTTTCTTACTTTGATTTTCTTCTACAACATTCTATGTCTTTTTTTCTTCAATTCTTATTACTATTGTTCAAGCTCTGTTTGCTCATGTGCTGTAGTCTTTTCAGTGTCTGTGTCTGGGAGTGCTTTATTCAGGTCAATATTTGGAGAGACACGGAGTTGCCGCTTCCAGTAATATTTTCACATAATAAAATATGTTTAGTCAAAGTCTTATAGACAGCCACTTCATATATATTATCTTTAGGGAGAGAGTCACTATCCTTCCATTCACTGACTCTCTTAATGCACTGAGGGTCAGAAAGCCATCTGTGAAATTGGAAGTCACATTTGAAAGCTCGCCCCATTAGGCCATCATATTCATGCTCTGTTTTCCGTCTTAAAGAGCCCCAACCTTACGGCACGACTGCTGCGGGTGCTGGGACTCTCCCTACCGGGACATGCCGCTCTCCTCCCACCACCCCTTTAGGAGTTCCAGCCAGCTGGCCATAATCTGATCCACATGAGTCTATACCTATTTCCCATTGACTTTCATTAAGTATGTTACTGAACCACAACCTTCACTTTTGTGCAGATAATTTTCTTTTTCCTCCTTAGATGCTGACATATTTAAGGATCATGCCTTGGAAGGCTAGACACCAACCAGATAAATTGGATTACTCTTAGGGGCTCAGATTCCTCCAGTATACTTGAAAGTGTTGGGGAGGCAGGCTCTCAGTCCTGAGCCCTGCCCCACGTTATTAATTGTTGTTATGTCATGTGGTAATGGTGCTAGTGATTTTAATGTTGTTATTTATGTCATGTGCTTAGCTCTGGACTGCATTTCATCACAGGGAGCACCCGTCAGCCCCCACCTGCCTTTGTCAGGGGAGACATAAAGAGCCTTCTCACTTTATGACCCTGCCAGGGAGTTACACTTTGGGGCGAGCACACCAACTGCTGGATGCCTATAAAGGGACAATTGCTGGCCTGGCTCCATCCTTCACTTTCCATTTTTGTATAGCCTTTGCTGATGCTGCCATGTGTGTCCATTCTGCTCAGAGAAGGTCACTCTTCTCAGTGCTCACGTGGGACTGGGGAGGGATTAATACACTAAGCAGTTTGCAACATGGGATCAAGACCTCTGCCCATTGCTGCTGACCTCCCTCTAGCAGGTCTCCTCATGATTCAGAAATTCCAGAGCTAATCCTTGTGGATATTAATTCACTAGGTGTAACTTGATGTGGTTGTAAGAGAAGACATTCCTGGCTGGAATCAATCTCTCTCCATTCTCCAGTTCTTTTTCTCCTGTCTTCACTCTTGTGTCTCCCACACCCTGCCTCACTGAGACTGATTTCATTTTGTGCTAGAAGAGCTGGTGGGGAGGTTGTGTTTTAAAAAAATATTTGTGTAAGGTAAAATTTATACAGTGTAATTGGCAATATTTCTCTAAGCTGCCTGACAGATTTGGAGCAGGGAGCAAAAACCTGGGTGCAAACAGTAACAACACACGCAAGGCAGAGTCAGAAGCAATTTGTCCTTCCTTTGCCTGTTTTCCTTCCTCTTTTCCACTAACAAACTCTCACTGAATACTTCTTGTGTGCTGGATGCAGAGTTCCAGATGTGAACCAACGGCTCTCCACCTCAGAGCTCTAGCAGTCTTAGAGGGAAAGAAGCCATGTGTTCACTATTTCACACCATCCACAAAACAGGCATATACAAAGTTTTGAGCCAACACAGAGCAGTATTCAGCTCCTGTTCTGGGAAGGGATGGGGAGATCAGGAAGGCTTCACAAAAGTGATAATCTTTTGCCTGATCTTTCAAGGAGAAAAACTAGTAAAAACAAAAAAGCTAGTTTTTGTGAAACGCATTAGTGAATAAGACAGTGACAGAAGAAGGAAATGAGCACAACCTTCTAGTAGCAGTGTGCTGGAGCCAGCTGGCCCCCACTCACCAGGGCCAGTGGTGTCCATTTCTTTCCAGCCCCATGTTCATCGACACTATGCTGATAGCTTGACATCAGCCATGGTAGGAGTATTTATGCCATAGGAATTGACAAATGCTAGAAATCAGGGGTATTTGTCTCTTTGTTTCTTTGCTTTCTGGAGAGCTGGTAATTTAACACTTACTAGCACACCCCAGCCTTCCAGACTATTGAAGGTTATTTCAAAGAGGTTGCAGAAGATCTGGCCTATGCCTGCTGAGTACAGAACCAGAAGAAAGGGTTACATTTTTTGCAAGAAGGATTATGGGTAGAGTTCACGAAGATCCTGGATTGAATCTTCTTGCCCTACAGGTGTTATTGTCTAACATGCACACAAAGCCACTCCATAAGAGGGTAGGTGGATTGAGAGCTAACCTTCTTGATCACTGGAGAATCAGTCTGAGGCCTGTGTATGGATTTTGTACTATAGAAAATGATGAACTCTTGGAGGCTTCTGAGCTGGGTGGATGACAGGAATGAAGTTCTGGGGAGACAAATCTGATAGCTGCTGTGTTTGGATTGGTCTGGAAGGGGTGATGCTAGGGCATGGAGACCAGTTAGGAGGCTTTGCTTGGTGAGGTAGAGAGGATTTGAGGTGGCTAATCTAGGGTGATAAGGAAGGCCACACTCAAGTGACTCAGCTGATCTAAACTGGATTGTATGCAAACATGCTGAATGGAGTGACTGGGACCTTGGCGACTGGAGTCTATGGGAAATCAGCTTGAAGACCTTGAAGGGAGAGGAAGGCTGCCGGGACCCAGGGTGCAGTGAGGGGTGATGTGCATGAGTGAAGGCCAGAAAAGGGAAATCTAGAAAGCGTGAGGCTGAAGAATTGCTTTAACTGCCAAAGCTCCTCCTCCAGTTGTTGAGGAAGTTGAATAAAGACATATACACAAGTTACCTGCAAGTGAGGTGCACCTCCATTCAAGAAGACTGAGCCGTCATTGACCCATTAATCAGTGTGTAATTATTTGTTTAACACCCACCTTTCATTACCAGGCTCCAAGTTCCATGGGAGCGAGAGAACAGAGTGGTTTTGTTAGTCCCATGCCTAGGCTGGTATGTAGCACTCAGGTGCTCAGTTTAATATTTGTTGCATATGGTTGAATGAAAGTAGATCCTTTGGGGGGGTAAAACATAACAGGGATAGAAATTTGGAGAACAGGGTAGAGTTTGGGAGAATGGAGAGAGTCTAGAGACAGGTGGAGTGAGATTATGAGCCACTTAGTGCTCTAAAAGTGGCCCAGTGGACTGAAGGAAGGCTGACCCCTCCTCTTCTCCCTGCAGGTAATGGGTATTATTGGAGTCTCTTTAGAGAGAGCAGCAGGCCATATGGTGTCTTTAGAGGATACCAGTTCTTTGTAACCATGAATCTAATAGGAGTCACCTCCCAGGTCAACTCCAATACATTGATTAACTCAGATCAGCTTGATCAGCACATTTACCCGGAGCATAAATCAGGGCTGCCATTTACAATGGAGCCTTGTAGCATTATAGCCTGAACAGCATTCGTGGGTTGTGCAGTGTGTAACCTGTATAACTGTATGCAGCAGCCCTGAGCATGCCTGTCAAGTGCATTGAAATGTAGGGCTGTCACCAGAAGGTGTCATACAGGGGACAACATGGAAATTGTGTTTTTAATGAATAAATGCATTCTCCTCTGACTCCAGCAACTGTCAGTTCAGCATTTTCACAGATGGCTTATTGTGAGGAAGAAGGCTTGTGGTGAGAGGGCTGGATGAAGAGATTGTGGAGAGGGGATCTGTGAGGTGGCAGATGGGAATGGAGCAGGCAAGATCCACCCATTCTCTCTTTGAAGAAGTGGATGGATTTCTTGGGAGTGATTTGGTAGAAAGGCCCTGTCAGCCTGACTCTCCTGGGCTCATTCAAAGTGAGGGTGAGAAGCGTGAGGGTAGCCTCACATGAAATAAGTCACAGCAGGAAGGGTTTCCAGAAGAGGAAATCAAATAGATGTCTTCAGCCATTATAAATAAAATAGCTGGCATGTATTGAATACTTATCCTGTATATACTTACTAAGCATTGCCTCACTCAATCCTCCATATAGCCCTATAAGTTAGAGTGTGTGTATGCATGTGTTTAAATTGGGGAGAAATCAATATTCTGAGTATAGCTTGCCAAAGGTTGTGCTGCCAGTTGAGTTAATGATAGAGCAAGAATTGAAACCCAAACATGG